CCCCTCTGCTCAAGGAGCAGAGCTGGTTGCCCAGGACTGTGTCCAGGCAGCTTTTGAATATCTCCAAGGTTGGAGACTCCATAACTTCTCTGGGCAACCTGTGCCAGGGCTCAGGCACCCTCACAGTGAAAAATTGGTTCCTGATCTTCCAGTGAAACCTCCCATGTTTCAGTTTGTGCTCATTGCCTCTGATCCTGTCACGGCACCACTGAGAAGAGCCTGGCTCTGTCCTCTTTGCACCCTCCCTGCAGATATTTATATACATTGATAAGATTCCCTCGAGTCTTCTCTTTTCCAGGATGAACAGCTTCAGTTCTCTCAGCCTTTACTTGTAGGAGAGATGCTCCAGTTCCTTAATCATCTCAGTAGCCTTCACTGGACTCCCTCCAGTAGCTCCATGTCTCCCTTGTACTGGGGAGCCCTGTGCTGGACACTGCACTAGAGGTGTGCCCTCAGCAGTGCTGAGCCGAGGGGAAGGACCACCTCCCTTGACCTGCTCTCTTTGCTTCAAGAACACATTGCTGGCTTATGTTCAACCGGGTGTCCACCTGAAACTCCTGGTCCCTTTCTGCAAATCTTCTTTCCAACTTTGAAAGAAACCGTAATGCTAAATATTTTTACGAAACCTAAGAGTGTCAGTTTCTAATATGTTTCAGTTTATAATTCCACTTGAGGTTTCCTGGTGGTGATAGGAGTGGCTTTATAGTACTGAAAAACAATTTGCAATTGCAGTTCAATTGTCTTAAATATTTTTGAGATCACTGTTACTGTTTTTCAGTCCTGTATTAAAATAGAAATGTGCAAGATGCAATACAAATTAAAAACTGGTAATGCTTAGTATGAATCTAGGCAAGGGAAGATTTGCATATTGTTGAAATTGGTTTAAAATAAATCTAATGCAACAAGATAGCTGCCCCCCCCCCTCTCTTCCCGTTTTTATCTGGGAAAGATATTTTGGCAGAAAATTCTTAACCATCATTCTCTTTTGGATCATTAATGGAAGAAGGGACAAAAGTTGTAGTAACATTTGGTATTTTTAATTGGCTTGATATTACACATAAGAAATACCCCAAATTATAATTTTTTTCTTTTTTAAAAAGCCATAGTGATGAAATTACAATTGTGTCCCTCCCCCCAGCCCCCAAAAGGAGGGGTTGTTCATCAGTTGTTGAGCTGAAGGTCCCAGCCTGTCGAGGTCAGCAGAGTGCTTCACGGGCTTGAACACCAGTTTGGTCATCCAGGTCATAAGTCAGTTTGGGCCCAAGAGCATTAAAATGATAAAAACACACAGGGAGGAGAGAGCACTTTTAAAACCTGTGGTCAGATTTTAGTGCTTCATGTGCTTAAAAATAAAGTTGGTGGCAGGCAAGGACTGCAACTTTTGTACGTTTCCTGTCCACTTACTGTTTGTAGCCCCCTGTTTCTGCCCTCGCGTGCTTTGTCAGGCTTCGTAGTTCACCCCAATCCAGCTTTTGGTGTTGGTACGAGAGTCATCTTCATTTGTGGACATTTTTGGAATGAAGCTGTACACAATATGCTCTGCTATCTTAAAATGACTTCATTTCAAGTTCAGTAGGTATACAGTTCAGACACAGGCTGTACTCTTCAGTAGCTCTTGACTACTAGGGGAAGATTCATTACTATTGTAAAATTTTTTTTTTTTTTTTTTTTTTTTTTTTTTTACTACTTCATCACAATTTATAACTCACTGCAATCACAGAAGAATATGATACTCTCATCTCCTGATCTGAGACACTCTGTTTCTATAGTTGTTAGGAATTGGTCTTGGGTTCTGGTGTGGCTGTCCCCAGCCTTCACTGGTGCTCAGTGCAGACTCTGGGGAAGCCTCAAGAGTTTCCAGTGGCCACAACCAAAATCGGGGGATCTTGGGAAAGGTTGTCTGTGTTACAGTAGGTTTGGACCTGCTGTTGCAACGCTGCTCTTCATGCTACATTTCACGTGCTTGCGGTAGCTCTAGTAAAAGGTTTCATAAAAGCAATGCTCAGCTGATTGCCATGTTTATTTGGCTTTCTTTTGTGTAGGTATTCCTGATAGAGCTGCTAGATGTGCAAGAGTAGGTAAAAATGTCAGGCTCTGGGAGTGGTGCCAGGAAACACTGGAGCCTTGTCTGCCCTCTTTCCCACAGCTAAACTATACCAGCATTTTAGCAATTTGTTCCAAAATTCCCCTAAGTAGATGGGGCTACAACACTTACAGAGACCCAAGAAGTCTAGAGGGTTTCAGTAGCACCAGTAGTGTGGCGGGCAGATGCTGTTTTGTTTGCAGAGGATTCTGGAAATGGAAATTATTCTAAGTCCTGCTGCTCCGTTGCGGCTAATTGCAAACCAGCTTTGTATTATTACTAAAAATAGCTGTCATTACCAATTGTGAGTTCCTTTAAAATATAAAAAATAATATTAAAAACTGAACAACAACAGCAGCAAAATATAAAACTAAGCAATCTCTTCATAGTCTTTGGCATTGTTGCAAGTGCAGTAATGCATTTGTCCGGTTAATTTACAGAGTGGTTGTCTGGAAAAACTGTTCTGTTTCAATTTAAGAGGTTATTCATTAAATAATTACCTGTTAAGGACTTCTGTTTTGGCTCTTGCACTAATGCAGTGAATTTGACAGTCGTTTCTAAAATATCTGAAAGGATAAATGTTGTTTAAAAAAGGTTAAAGAATATAAAATACGAAAGCAAAATACAAGGTTGTTAACGAGACCGGACTAGGTGTCTCAGTATCGGCAGAGGGAACCCAATACTGATGTAAAACCTCTGGCAAATGAAGTACTTAGGCCATTGAGATATGATATGTATCATCCATCTTTGCTTCTCCTTAGTGATTCTTGAAAAGAAAATGGATGTGGAGTGTAAACTTTCGTTTAAAAAAAAATAAAAAATTAATCTGTTCAAGTTTTCTCGTGTAGCCTAAGTGAAGTTCTGTGATATCCCTAAATTATGCTTACCTGAACTCCATCTGCGGTCTGTTGGTTTACAAAAGGAAGTTCTAATATTCAGATTTACGATCAGATTTGTAGAGTGAATAACTTTAAAGCTAAATTTGTAGTTCGCTTGAATGGGGAATAGCAAAGAGAGTGTATGGGTTTAACCAGTTAGTCCATCCTATTTCTTACCGTTTCAGAGGAAAGTCCTGGTGTCCTCAGTTTCTGTCAGAAGAGGCTCGTCACCCGAGAGAAACGAGACAAAGAACTACTTGTGTCTTAAGTGTACAATTACAATTTGAACTTATCTCTGAGTAAAATGCAGCAACAGAGGCCAATGAATGATTCAACTTTCAGTAATATTATTAAGCGTCAAGATATAGCCATTTTAAGTTGCAAATATTAGAACTGATAGAAGCATACAGTGAAGGATTGGATTTTTGTTGATTATATTTGTCTGCTCTGTGGGAGGAGTTACTAAAAGATGTTGGTACAGAAACGGTGAGAAACATTGACTGAACTGTCATTTTAACGATGAGGTTCAGGGGGAGGCGGGGGAGGCTGGCTTTTTGCTTGTGGGGGCAAACAAAGTCTCTATAAACAAATTCACTTGCCTGTGGGCTAAAATTGGATAGTCTTGTTTTATTTCCCATTTTGCAAACCGTTATGTATTTAAGCTTTTAATGCTTGCAGCAAAATACTTTCATATATATATATATATATAAGTGAATCATCTGTGTGAATCATATGTGTGTGTGAGAACATAATATATTAATTACGCAAAAAAGCCTACCTTCAGTTATTTTGGGACATTTGGGGGGGGCGGGGGTAAAGCAGTGATGATTTTAAAATACAGCGCTTCGGTGAATGGTTTTCGGTGGTCGCAAATAATTTTGTACAGAAGCAACAAGTTTGTCCTCTTCTAATATTTCCTGTTCAGTCCTTGTATTTGCCATCACTAATGCTAACTGGCATAAGTACTTAACCCTCAGCCAGAAATAAGTTGCAAAAGATATCACGAAGCTTATTTCTTTTGAAGTGTTGGGACTACTCATTCATGCAGTATTACATTCATACAGTAAACCATACTTCAAATGTAGGATCTTATAACATCCGTGGTAAACCATGGGGTTTTCCAACTGAAGTAGCAGCAAATTCGTAACCAAAACTAAAACATGTAATTTAATTTAAAAGAAATAAATAAAAGCTAAGAGAGAGAAGATAACCAAAAACTCTTTTTCTGAGACTCGGAAAAAGGAATTTGGCTTTTAAGTAATGAAGTGATAACCGTTAGTTTATTTTATAAAAATGCTAAATGATGGGAAAAGCTGTTAAATTGTAGAATGCAAGTAATTTTCCACACACTGCGAGTACAGGAGTGTTCCCTACAGCTAGTAGATGCTACAAATGTTAGGTTCTAAGTAGCCGTAACTGGTTCTGTTGTTGAAGCCCACAGCGTGTGTGTCCTGACCTGCCCTTGCAAAGGACGGGTTATGTGCGTGGGGAGGAGGGAGGGAGGGACAGACGGACGAAGGGGAGCAGGGTTTCTGACTAGAAGCCTGTTCTTGTTTAGATTTCAGTGGCAGAAGGCCTGACCTTGTTCTACTTTCTTGTTCTCTTTTCTGTGCAATTTCATGGTGGCTGACTGGCTTCATGATTAGTCTAAAGTAAATTGGGAGTTGATTCTTACTCTCTTGCCGCCCCTGGCCCTCTCTAGCTAGATCACTGACTGTGAAGTTTTTAGAAGAATTATCAGTTCTGACTCTGAGGAACTATATTGTCTGGTTAAGTTTCTTTACAGAGAGTCACATGTACGCTTCAAGAAGTCCTAATGAAGGCATAAAAGTACAGAGAAACATTTTTTAGAGAGTCTTCTTAGGCTGGTTTCTTCTAGGTGACTGTTACAAAAGGACTGAACATCCACAGTGTTAATTATTGAGATGTTGGTTGTGGGTTTGTTGTTTTGGTTTGATTTTTGTTTTGGTTTGATTTTTAGCTAGACTTAGCTGGTTTGCATTTATGGAAAAACTAATTTCTTCTTTTGCATCTCTTCCAGTAATAGTTATGCACGAGTGCGAGCTGTGGTGATGACCCGGGATGACTCAAGTGGTGGATGGTTACCACTTGGAGGGGGTGGACTAAGCTGTGTCACAGTCTTCAAAGTCATTCCCCAGGAAGAGAATAGCTGTGCTGATTTTCTTATCCATGGAGAACGACTCAGGGATAAAACGGTAACAATTTACATCCGTTTAGTGTTCCTATTAAAACCACATAGGACCTGAGAAGAGATGTTTGCTTATTGTTGCTTGTAGATTAGAAAATAAATTTATAGTCTCAGTCTAATGTTGTTGATGAGTTTTTATCCATATCAGTGATTATACACCGAAAGATCCAATTACTTGTTTTAGATGTAATACCATGTATTTCTAGAATTAAGCATGTGGATCTTTCAGAAACTTTAAAACATATTTTTTTCATTGCAGATTTCCATCCATTTGGGGAAACATTTTGCTATTCAGGTTTTTTTCCGATGGAAGGTTAAAGTTAAATCTTCTTGTTAACCTGTCTATACACCAATGATACTGAGTTTAATAGGAGTGTTGGAAAATGGGATAACTTGTTAAAAACAGAAAATCTGAGGGAATTCCTCAGTAATGATTGAGTTAGTTGTGCAATTTGGCTATGACAAAAAGTAGCCATTTTACATGAAAACAACTTTTGTATTGGAAGAAAGCATGGAGCTGACAGGTCCAAAAATTGATCTGGTCTATTAGCTACATTAAATAAAATACCAGTAATGAACTTGTCTTAAATGGCATCACGGAAGTCAGCCTCACAAAAGGAAAACAGTGCTGTAGGGTCTCAGCCATTTCTACATGCAGACCTATGGCCGTCAAAATTGGCTTACTAAGGCTGTCTTGGTTACTCGTGTGCCAAATAGGTTTCTGAAGGGGGAGTGTCTTACTCTTGGAAACAAAGAGAAGTGGGGAAAGCACAAAACTTCCACCGTAACTGCTTTATTGATAACTTACTCTTTTTCTGCCAATAATCTACAACCCCTGTGTAAGCTTGAAAGGTAGAATTACTTCTTATACCATACTGCTGATTCTTTCTCAAGCATACCAATTTTTCCCTTGAGGCAGGACTGCTGAGTTTTCTGCCTTGACTATGACTGTTGTAGGAAGAGAGCATATAAATAGAAATTCTGCTGACTCAGTTGTTTCTGCGAGGCGTAGTGCTATTAGCAGAGTACCCTGTGTTCCCGCACAGCTATGTGCACCTGCAGTTCCTTCCTCACTTTGCAGTAGTTCCCTATAGAACTTTTTTTAGCCTTATTGAGGCCGTGGTTGAGGAGCTTAATTGCATTTAGAAATTCTTGACAATTTTCTTTTAATTCTTAATACTTTTGACATTCACAGCTTGCCTTTGGAATCTGAGGGTAATAAAATGCTCAGAATTGAAGGCTGGCTTAATGTTTCTCCTGCATGCATATGAAAATGTTGTGGCCATCAGCATCCTGATCTGTTTATGCTCTCTTTCCTGCTTTCTACTAATGGTAGAAGGCTTAAATGTCCCTGCTCTTCTTCCTGTCCAAAATCTAGCTCGTGTTAGTATGAATATGTTTTCCAAGCCTTTATTGTGCTGAACAAGTTTTTTTTTTATTTTGTTTTGTTGTGTGTCCTGTCCTGTGTCCCTCTGTCCCCCAGTCCCGCACCCAAATGTGACCTACTGGTCTGTCAGGGCAGATTTTGATCTTGCTGCAGTTTTAGGAAGTTGCTGTTAGAAGCCAGCCCCTCCAAAACACAAGATAAAAGATGGAAGAAATGCAGCTGGGAAGAACAGCTATCCAATGTATATTGAATAAAGCTCAGGGAACTAACAAATACAGATTTAGGCTCTGATGAAGAATACTGTAGGGCCAGTGATGCTTTGGTAATGGAGTAAAAGGAAGCTATGTATTCATGTATTTCCTCAGACTTCAAATAATGCACTTACAAGCTACAGCTAATATGTAATGGATTAACAACAAAGTTGCACGGTATGCAGCAAGACCCTTCTTGGTATAAAAGAAACAAGATCCTACACCAAGGTGTGTGAGGACATCGCTAGGTCATGGTGCTTTTTCGCAAGTACTGTAGCAGGGCCTGGAAGAGAAATGCTGTTGCACAGGGATCCAATCACCGATTCTAAAACTGTTCTTATCCTTAGGCCATCAGTATAGTTAATGCTTTTACATTTGTACTTAGGATATTTCTGTGGATTCACTGTTCAAGCACAATTTTTAACCTTTTCTTTAATGAAGCCGAACAATTGCTTTTTTAGTCCCAATAGAATCAACAGACGACTAGTATATTTCATAATACAAAGAAAAAACCAACAAAAACACCACCATGAAGTTGAAATGTGGTGTTCTGTTACAGCTGAAAGAGTGGGGAGGGCTGTGCTCTCAGAGTCAACTCTGAAAAGGACTGTTGAAGATTACTTCAGTGGCATAAAATGCTATTTGTTTATTTTTTCTTTGAAATGATGTAAAAGTGGAAGTTGTTATGGGTTCATCATGTTTGTTGTTGAGTAGGGACCAAATATTTTTATCATTTTCTGATTTTAAGTAAGTTATACTGAATCTGCTGTTTTCTGTGCTTAAACATTGCTCTAATCTCATTTTAGAATGTCCCTGATGTGTAAATCTGTATACCTAAGTAATTGTTGAAGGTACTCATACACTGCTTAGTTGGTTCTGCCCTTGTATTTGCAAAGAGAAAGCAGCAATATTGTGTTAAAAGAATCTTCCTAAGCCATTTTGAATATTTCAGTTATTCAGACTTTGAGCACATGTGTCTTCAGGAATGTTTAATCTATTGTAGTTTCTAGAAGTCATTACAGCTCGGTCAGCTGGACCACAATTTCCAGTCCCCCCCATCACATTAGACACTGTTAAAATACCTTTATAACTAGATTATATTTTTATTTCCTCTGGCCAGTAAGTCTTCGTTTTGTGAACAGGCTCAGCTTCCAGAAAATGTGCAGAAATTCCCTTATACCGGAAAAACTATAGCGTGGAACTTTCCTGAGACACAGGGAAGCATGGATTTTGAAATACTTCAGGTTAGAGAGCAAATGGAATTCAGATTATGGCTTTTACCTAAGATATATGGGAATCATAATGCCAGTATTACTGTTCAACCTATGTGTCAGTAGAAAGGTGGAATTTATTAATTCCGGTTTGAAATCCATAGGTGAGAGATTTGATGGAGGTGTCTTCCAGATGCCTCTTAAATGGTTATACTCAAAAAGAATGAGACATCTTTTATCGCTTCTCTTATCGTTTCTTGTAAACTAGCTTTAGTTGCTGCTTCTCCAAGTACTGCTTCTGACAATACATTGCAATTCCATTCCAATGTGCAGGATCTCTGTATATATTTTATAGGATATGCGGGCATTTAATTAGGACTATAGATCTCCGTCTGTAAGTCAGCTGTATAGGTTAAATACTTTGGGACTGAACATCAAAATGTTGAAGTTCCGTGTTGGGGGGTGTTCTTGTCATATTTTTAGGTACCGGAGAGTTAGATTGCTGTCAGCCCTTGTACGAACCGGCTTCAGGCTATATGTAGAACTTCCAAAATTTTCATGGGGTACTGAGCTATTTAAAACATCTCATGGGGTTCACAAAAAGCATCCTAGTTATCTGAGAAGAAATTCGAAGTGGTGGCACCACTGAATTAATTTATGAGAGGGAATGTTTCCTGATAGTTTGCTCAGGTTGTTTAGATCTGCGTTGGAATGTGAGGGTATTTTGTGAAGACTTTGATGTAATTACATGTTTCCTCCTTCATTATACTCACCTTCCTACATCTGGCTCCAGGCAGTCTGCTTGGAACAATTGCACTCCCTTCTAACCTGGTCAGGTCTGCTGCTCTCTTTTACTGTGTTTACAGTAGTTCTATCTTAATAGTGGTAGTGCTAAACATACATTAGGCTCAAGCTTGCAGGTTTAAGGCTTTGGTGAATTTTGCATTCTTGAATGAAAAGTCTAATAGACTTCTCTGTTTTATTTTCTTCTCCAGTCCTTTGCCATGCAAGTTTTTACTGAAGGAAAAATAAAAAGTGACTAGTATCTTTTGGATGATGAGTCAGGAGACACAAATCAAAGTTTAAAACCTTTCTTTTGAAGAACAGATAGTCGTGTAAAGGGAGAGATGCAAAGCTGAAGCTGAATATAAATACTGTTCTAAAAATCTGCTGTTCAAAAACTTAATTGATCATTTACTTTTTAAAATGGCTTTAAAGTTTGAGAAAAGATTGATTCTAATGGGCTGTAGTACAGTTCTTACATCATCTTACTTTATGAATTGAAAAAAGCATGCACAGAATTATAATCATGTCACAGGGTCACAGTGGCACTGGGGCCACATGCTCTGTAGCATGAATATACTCAGGTCATGCTGCTTGGTCTCAAGACTAGAGAAAAGCCTTTGTTTCTATTTAGCAGAAAAGGCAGAAGTTTCATCAAAAACTATATGCTTATGTGTTTGTAGATTTGGGCTGGGAATGAGAAATTGTGAAACTATCTGTCTGCATGTAAATGTTGTAAGCTGTTGAAAGTGCAGATAGAAACCAGTAAAATAGTATCCAGTATCTAGAAAGATATTCAGTTATGTGGTCTGTTGTGAAAATAGACATTTATATCAAATACAATAAGGGTTTTTTCATATTTGTTTCTGAAACAAGCCCTAAATAATGGTGCTAATATCTTAAATGCTCATCTTATTTTTGTTAAAAAATACTTGGTTTTGAAGTGTTTAACATTTCTGACTTTAGAGATTCATCTTGTCTACCCAAGCCAGAGAGTTTCTAATATCTTTAAAGAATGTAGCTCGTAGAGGTGAGGGAAGAAACATGTAGCAAGCAAGTATATTTATGTGTAGTTATGAATTCTTTAGTGTTAAACTTAATGACATCTAGATATGAATTTATTTTTTTTTTTATTAAATAGTGGTAAGTAGACAGACAGCCCTGTGTACCCTCTGAGAATTTAGATCTTGATCATGTGCATCTGGAGCTCTTCTGTCTTGAGTCTGAGAACTCCAACATTTTCCATTACCTGCTAAGGCGGCTGCTTCATATTGACATGGAAGTTTACATTAACTCTCCGAATGAAGAAAACCTTCAGAACAGTAGCCCATCTTCATTAAAAAATGCAATTGTGTTAAGCCATAGTCACTTAATTTAAAATTTTGCAGGTATTTGTTGTGCTTATCACTGGAGATCTTAGGTAAGGCCTGCCTGAAAAGGTTTGGGAAGGCAGATTTTTGGTAACCATGTGGGAGAGTATGATACCATTTTCACATACGATGTGGAGATATTTGAACCATAGCAAAGTGCAGTAAAAAATAATTGGAGTTTTGGGTGTTTGAAGACTCAAAAAAAAAAAAAAGTGTATTGCTAAAAGCTGGGTTTTTCGTTTGCGAGCTTTGGAGTGTGTTAGGATACTTCCTCCACAGCCCCCAACCATAGTTTGCATGCTTCAGCATAAAGAAGCCTTTGACAGGGTTATGTTTAATAGGGGAAAAAATACATTGTTGCTGCAAAGTATGGAAGTGTCTCAGTGAGAAAACAAAGTGCTGTAGGGCATGGTTGATATGGTTTTTTTGTTTGGTTTGGGTTTTTAATATTTCTGGATGCAATAAAAGCTATTGAAGTCTGGGTGTTCATATATTTGTGTCCCACTGCTAATTCTGACCTATGGTTTTTGAGTTGTCTCTTGGGTGGGACAGCCATAAAGCCTTGCCTATATGGATTCTTATGTCTAATAACACATACAATTTTGGTGCAACTAATTTTTCCCCTTTCAGTGCCCTTAACCACTTGTAACTGCTGTGTTAACTCATCTGTTTGCATACAGCTTTAGATCTGAAAAATCAGTGTCATCTTGTCAAATGTGTTGTTTCCTTAAATAAAGCTGAAAACAATTACGGTGTTGAATAGGATGTTTGCTTATTTTGTTAATGATTGCTTTTCTTATAAAATGTTGTGAGGGTTGGAGGTGTGGGGCGGAGGTGGGGGGTGGTGGCAGTGTTGCTTTTTGGCTTGGGGGGGGGCTTGGTTTGGGGGTTTTCTGGTTTGAGTTTCTTTGAATTTCATAGCTTCTACTCAGTAAAGTTTTAATCCAGTAGTTTATCTGCAGTGGTACTATTTTTTTAAAAATATTTGTCATCCAGGAAAGAATTTTCAATATAAAGTAATCTGGGTTAACTCCTTTGGTAGCAGATATTCATGGAGATGCTATAAAATTAGGCTTGCAGTAGTTGTTGATATTTTGCGTGAAACTGCACACAAAATTCAGTATGAAAATAGTTGGTGCTTAAGGAAGACCTTCTTTACTTGGAGGCTGACGGAGCCCTGGAACAGGTTGCCCAGAGGGGTGAAGTCTCCTTCTCTGGAGATATGCAAAACCCGCCTGGACGTGGTCCTGTGCAGCCTGCTGTAGGTGACCCTGCTTCGGCAGTGGGGTTGGACTAGATGACCCACAGAGGTCCCTTCCAAACCCTACCATTCTGTGATTCTGTAAGGTAGTAGAGATCCCCCAAAAGTGCTTATAGACCCAGAAAATGCAGTGATGTGAGAAATCTTAATTTTTAACTCCTCTGTTTAGGAAGAAGCAAGTTTAAAATCATCAGAATGAACAAAGAACAATCATTTAATATACTTAGAACTGCAGAATTATACTTTTTTTTTTTTTTTCTGCAGCACCTTTTCCTGCACATCTACAGCAAATAGTTAGATTCCTTCCTATGCTTTCTTGCAGGCAGTTGTACCTACATATTGTTGACCATTTAGGGAATTCAGAGTGGAGTAACAAAAATTATTTAAATGCTAAAAGAGTTCATATGTGCAGAAAGAATGTCACCCTTGTAGAGAGAGAGCTAAAAGGCAGTAAAACTCAAGAGGAGGTGGCGTGTAGGGTAGGGGGAATAAATAGTGAAGAGCAGGAGAAAAAGAACCTGTTTGCCTATGTAATAATTAGACAAGGAAAGAAGAACACAAAGGATATGTGAGAATAATGTAAGTACAGACAGATTTTTTTTTTTTAAATTTGGAGATTTTTTTTGCCAGTTATATTTGTAATTAACATCACTTTTCCACATGCTGTAAGAAATTTTGTATTTTTCTCTCAAATCTGCATCTGTAACAAAATTGAAAATGAAAATTCTGAAAATACATTAATGTTGAAATGATAGCATATTAAATGTCCTTATTCACCTCTCAGTGTAGGTTTTCAGAATCTAGTAGTAATACAGAGATACAGGTTATCTTGCTGTGCGTTTTATTACACGTAGTGCTACAAGAGCAGATTAGTGCATGTCCCTCCATACTTTCTTGTTCACCTTTCATTTTTTTAATCAAAACAACGTTGCATAAAATAATTTTTGCAGGTAGATTCAATATGCAAATATATTTTAAAAATCAGCCAATTTAAACTGGGGAAATGATGTGAAGACTTCAGCTTTGCTTCATAACTGAATGTGAATGTATAGCTGTAATGATTTTTTAGCCAAAAAATTCTTTTACCTATTCCTAATTACTATTTTCATTATAGTTGAACATGAGCCATAAATATATTTGTGTCTACTTACAGGCAGTAATACATATAAAAAGATTTTAGTTTTGATTAATTTCAGTTTCTAAAACAGTTCTCCTGTATTATTCTTCTCTTGTCTAGTTGCCTTTCTGGGAGAAAACTGATATGGCCTGAAAGCAGCATAAAGTTAGTCCAGTGCTCAAAAAATTTATAGAATAAGTATACAAATGAAATTCCCAGTGATACAGTAATCCTTGATAGCAGCACAGTAATGTTTTTTCGAGGTGTGGCCTGTTTCATTTGCTGAACATCTAGCAAGTCTGTACTGACAGAAGTGCTTGCTGCAGGTATGAGATACTTCTGAGTCTGGGAAGATTCATTCGCTATACAAACAGTGTCCTTAACCCATACCACTTATCAGCAACTGTTAGTCAATAATTTGTCCATAATGGAAATAAAGTTAAAATTACATCCTTATAACAGAAATTTAAACAGAGACTTCTGTTTGCTCTTATGATGCATGTTTTCAGGTGATTGACAAAGACTACATTTTGTTCTCAAATTTAGTCAGTGGTATCTTTTCCTCCTGTCTTCTTTCTGGAAGGTGGTCTTGGAATGCACGTTGAAGAAGGACCTCGTTTACAACAAAGTTACTCCTACTTTTTACCACTGGAAGATTGATGACAAGAAGTTTGGCCTCACATTTCAGAGTCCTGCTGATGCAAGAGCGTTTGACAGAGGTATTCGGAGAGCAGTAGAGGATATTTCTCAAGGTACATATTTCAGGTGAAGTGGTTGCTGGGGGTAGGGGGATGTTGAGTGGTAAATGAGAGAGATCAAAGCTCTTTGCATAACATTACTGCTGACAGTGTTTAAGGATGTGGATTGACCTACAGCATATGGAGATTTTAAATTTTCAAATAGTACTTCTGGCATTTCTAGAGTGACATTCATCCAAATGTTGTAAATTGTTTCACAAACACTGATAAGGTAATTCCCCGAAACATCCCTACATAGTAAAGCATTGCCTCATTTTTTTAGAGATGCAGAAGTGGAGGAAGCTAGAGTGCTACAGTGTCTTACTTGGATCTTCTTCTCAGAAGCTTGTTACAGCTTCTGTATTCTTAGAGGATAAGCTATAAAGTTGAATGATTTGAGACCCATAGAGTTCTCTTTTCATCTGTGTATACTTTCAGTTAATCATTTTATTTGTTTACTAACAGCTGACAGAGTAGTTCTGAGTGCAGGTTTATATGGGACGGTAGAAGAATTTACTCTAATAGTAATACGGCTAACTTGTTCCAGAGCTTCATTGACCTCCTGGAAACCAGTGAGCAAATAGAAGATGATCATTAAGCCTTGATTCTGAGCTAAAAATATGATAAATATATTGCTGGATAGGGAAGGAGAGAGATGGAAGAGAACAGGTGTCTGTGGAATGGAAGGAACGTATCTTTCAGGCTTGTAAAAAGTAACTCAAAGGGAGAAATCTAAACAAAATATTCTGTGCTGTGATGTGCAGTAGATTTAGGGGTTTTAATGTGTGTTACCATATTAGCAAAGGGAGAAGCATGTTATTGAAGGGAAATGCTTTTTGACATACTAGAATGACTTCTTTTGAATTGTGCTGATATCATCCATATCCCTGCAAGAGAAATAATTAGAGAACATATGAGTCCTTTTCTTTCTTAGGGTCTCACAGTTCCAATTTCTGCTGATTTATAGCAAAATATAGCACAGCATGCATTCGTGCCAACCAAATGTGTCTGCCTTTAATTTTCAACATGCTACATTAACAAGAATATGCTCCCTTGCTTCTGACTCCTGATGACACTTTGAAAATGCTTTTACAAGAAAGGTGTGAACGAGAGAGAGGAGCGTGGCTAGGAATAATCAGTATATAAAATACAAAATGTAGAAATGAATGGTACTTAAGAAAATTGACTTGAAATACAGTGATCTACTGGTTAAAAAATAAACAAGCATATTTATATCATTATGGCTGTATATTGAAGGATGGCGTGGACTACTAGCAGCAGTAAACTGTAAATAAAAAGAAAATAACCTTGTCTGTTATGGGTTTTTTTACTTTTTCTGTAGGTTATCCACCCTCACAGAATGATGTTGAAGTGGCAGAAGACTGCTTTCAAGTAAGGGTTTAAATTTTTAAATTAATTGTGCAGCTATTTTTTGAAGAACTTCATTGAATGTTTTTTGTTTTCATTAGTGAGAATAAGCAAAATAAGAGCAACAGCAAAATTCATTTTAATGAAATAAGTTAAAGAACAGTTATGTAGAAGACTTACAATATTGTGTGTCCCAACTAAGTAGTCAGTATTTAATCAATAGGATGATAACCATCCTGAGTTCAATTTTTAAGTTTACAATGTCTGTTCTAGATTGTGCATCCTCTTTGAACTTACATGAATGTGAAATACTCTTCTGCAAAAGAAAAAATAGAGGGGTCGGGAATCTTGTTCTTTTACATGCATGTCCTATTTGTTTTCCTAGATTTCACTCTGCAGTGATAGACACTTCTAACATTGTATGGTTAGAATTGAAAAGGTGCTGAGAGAACTGTTATAAGAATCTAGTCCAAACAAGGGCAGAAGTTCAGATAATTTTTATAAACACACTGAAAATAAAGCAGTTGCTTGTTGAGATTCGAATTTTTATTGATCCTTATTTGCACCATTCAATTTCTATAGGTCATAATGGCATGAGGTAAAAATGTATCTCGTACTATGCTTCAGAGTTATAATGCTTTACACAAATACCATATCAAGTATGGTAACACTGATGTGTAGCACTGCCTAGTAATATCCAAGAATCCAAGTGATTAAAAAGCCAGTATAAAATATTATGGCTACATATATACAGTAAATAACTGTAATATAACTGAGTAGAAACCTACTTGTGTCTACATGTGCTTGTCATCTCATCTTTCCTGTTTACAGTTTCAGGGTAAGTCTTGGCTTTATTCACACATATGTTCAGTTTTCAGAGTGCAGATACTTAAATTAATATGAAGCTGATCTAGAAACAACTTGACTCAGGGGTCTTAGTGACTATTCAGAAAACTTACAGTACTCCTAAGTGGTGTCTTGAGGGAAATAGTTTTGTCATTTATGGATCTACATTTATCAGTGTAGAATCTCTGCAACACAAAATCAAGAAAATTAGTAGTGTACTTTGAAGATATGGGTAAGAATTAAATTACGATAGGAGACTGAGAGTCAAGTATTTAGAAAGGATGCTGCAATGCAGTGGCAATGCAGAAGAGTGTCCTGATTTCTTTCCATTTTATGGTAGAAGAAATGTATCTCTTTGTGTAAGTGTTGGCTGTGCAACCACCTGTTGTTCTTTATTTGCAGTGCTTTATTTTAAGGCACTTTAATGTAAAATTGCTATAAATATTAGATATTTTTTGGATTTAAAATAGGAATGAGATTTTGACAGGGTGGTGGAAGAGTGTGCCAAAGTTAATGCAATCCTTAATCAGCTTTTAAAAGACTTGTTTAAACACTCTTTGTTGCAAGGATTAACAATTGAGCAATTTCTACAGGGCTAATGAGTTTTGAGGAAACTAATTACCTCTTGATTATATTGCCCAATTATTAAGTTTCTGTGTTAAGGATGCTGAAATTGAAACAAATATCTGTGATTCTTTATATTTTCAAAGTTTGTTATCGGGAAAGTGGAGAAAAGTGTATTTACATCATCTATCCTATATAGATGTAAATAGAGATATCTTTAGATATATAAATAGATTATGTAGAATTACTTTTTATATATTCAAAAAAATAAATACATATGTTTAAAAAAATACTCTCTCGATGTGTAACTTACATGTACAAACCTGTTTGGTGCAAATTGCTGGTAGAATTATCTGTTACGTTCCAGACAGGAAAACATATTTCATGGCTTCACCACAACACACGTTGCTTAACTGTGGATTCGTGCTGTGGATAGATGGCAAGAAATACCTGTTTTGTAGAGGCAAAAAAGCTAGCCAATCTCTTTTACTGTATCTCTGCATACCAAAATGAAATAAGTGATACTAGAATTGCCTATAGATAACAATACCAGGAGGCGGGGGGCGGGGGAGAAATGAATGCAGGGAAGCCTGAACCCACCCTGGTTTAGCTATGCTTCATCTAAATCAGGTTTATGTATCAATAACAAAGCTGTAATTGCAGGTTTATGAATATCAGTGTAGAAAGGCTACAGCATTTTAGTTACAGACACCAGGTCTAGTCATCAAGAATATCTTGGAAATACCAAATAGTGTACATTCTGCTCAAATGATTAATTCCTTCTCCCTTCCAAAACTGATACTGTTGTAAGTGGAACTCAATACCCCCGTGTTTTTTTTAACTTGAAAGACTGCTATGACCGTTTTATTTAAAGATAATGTATTATGTGTTTGAAGAGTCATGTTGACTTGTCCCCCCCTTCCTCCATCCCACTGTAGTTTAAAAGGCCTAATGATTCCTACACACACCCCTGGCTTATTCTATAAGCTGTTTTCCCAAGTGTCTAATAGTATTTTTGAGTGAGTTTTGGAGTATATCTATGCAATGGCATTTTAGGGTGTGGATAGAATGTTAAAGGGCAGGTTGGCACTTGGGTATGAGAGCAATGGAATGTTTGTTGTTTCATCAGAACAGTCTTCCAGCACTGTAATTCATAACCTCTAAGGAAGGATGTACAAGAGATCAGGCAGTGGAGCTCCTCCATTTAACTAAAAATATTAAGTAGTCATAAGTTGTTTCTAAAATAGCAGAATATCAAAGATAAAAGGGTTATTTCATGCTTATTTTTCATAGCATGTTTGCTAATGCACTTACATTTTTGTCTGTACCCTGTAGTAGCTGTCATGTGTACTGGTATTCTTTGGTTTCATTTCTTTGTTCGTTAGTATGGTAGGTAAAGTCCCCAGGATGTCATCAAGGTACATTTGAAAATATTAATTTTAATAGGTCTTTGTCATTTACATCATCTGCTGTCAAGGTGTTCTCCCTATGCTGTTCTAGTTATCTTACACAGCAGGATTACGGTATTTAGTGCCTGTCTGAAGTATGAATATCGTATGTAGTTTGCACATAAATGTCATTAACACTGTTTTGGTTTTTTTAAAAAAAAATTAAGATGATCAGTGATGAAGAAAGCGGAATGTGCTTCATAGGTTATTTTACTGGCTGGTTATGTTTGGTACTACAGAGAGCAAATAAAATGACCCAAATAAGGTCAAAACACACAGCCTTCTGATCTAGTCAGTGGCACTGCTGTTAAGCCTCAGTGTCTACTTGTGATAAGTATTATCACATTTTATAGATGTAGTAAGCAGAATTAGGGGTTGTTCAAAATTTGACTGTGCAACTCTCATAGTTCAGTTTTTGGATTTGTATTTATCTGGTGCTTTCTAGGGTAGCATTTTGCTCACTATGTTGTGTCTTGGGTCACTATTTTTTTTTTTTACATTCTTTACATAAAATCTCAGAAAGCATTCTTCTTACTGAAGAGCAAGGTTTTCATTTTAAGAAGACATAGCTTCATTATAGCTTCTTTAGATGCCCTGTTGTTCACAAATAATGTTAAAATCTTAATATTAAAAAAATACTATCACTTAAGGGTGTTCCTACTTGCTTGTAAAGGGTGCTTAAATAATTACAAATACTGTTAGTTGTTTAATGAACATTATATGCGATTTTTCTAATCATTAAATAAGCCTTAGCCTTACTGGATTAATTTCAAGTCAAAATACACAAATAAGCTATCTGGCTTCCTGTAATGTTTGTAAATGGATCCTGGGAATGTATATATACCTATATGGAAATATGCACCGGGAATTTGTTTTGGTAGGAGGTTTGGATTTTTTGGTATAAAACCAGGCATTTTGAATGCAGTAGACGAGCAGCTTGTTTAACTCAGTTTGCTTGTTTGTTCGAAGATTGGCTTCGATTCTTTTCCTCTACCACGTATAAACTTCTTGCTCTAAAACTCATCTGGTCTGACTGGAAAAAATGTAAAAATCAGATAATTTTCTTTTTTTTTACTTGGAAGTAAATCTAACTAAATTAAATCTAGAGCTCATGCATTTAAAAGTATTTTTATGTGGGTTTTCGGTACTCAAATGCATTAAGTCTTGCTTTTGAGAACTGAAAAATAGAGCAGTTGAGTCTTAATTTCTTTCGGGTTTTGTTGAGTCAGCCATACCGGTGTTATTTATAGGCTACCAGCACATTTTAAGAGTTTTGAGGTAATAAGAAATGGAGCACTTATGCTTTTGAGTTTCTTACTACTGGCGGAAGAAAACTGTAGACTGATAAATTATAAGCAGAAAAAAACGTTTGGCTTGTTCTTTCAGAAATAGGTACATTGGGCTTTTTGTCAATATGAAAGGGAAAAGGCCTCCAACTTACATGCCAGTTAAGTGGTTTTGGTGCAGGCAAAGAGGACAAAAATGGTTCACGTTTGCCTCTTTTTAAACACACTACTTAGTGATCTCTTTGTAAATGCAGTATTTAGTGACCACTCAATTTATTTTGTCTATAACAAAAGATTCGCAGAAGTTTTATTTTACAAAGATGACTTGTAAGGAAATGTGAAAAAAATATACCCTTGACGTTTTTTGTTTTTTTTTTTCTGGAGAAGAAAATGCTACATGATAAAACACTAAAGATTAGCAATATTTAGTGTACTCAATAAATTGGCTAGATGTAGTTCATAGATGTAAAAGTAATACTAATTTATATCATCCATTTAAAATAAATCTAATAGTACACTGTGCTAAAATTATTTGGGTTTATTAAGCTTTTTTGTGGAGTAGTAGTCAAAAAACAGGAGGAATTTTTTTTTTTTCCCCTCACTAGTATCCCTAACAGTCTTTTTCCATCTCTCTCTTATTTCCTGAGATTTATGCTTTGTGTTTTAATTTATTATTTCCTTCCTTGGAATCCCTAAAAATGTCTAGTACGCTTTATATATTCAGGTAGAACAGCCTTGGAAGAAGGAGGCATGTCAAATGCATTATTTTTTACTTTAAACGTTAAACTACAAAACATTTAGAGTAATCTAGGTAGTATTTCAGTCTATGTCAGAAATACATACCTGATTATAATAGTTTCTTTGCCAAATTTGAAAATAGATGCTCCATCAGTCCTAAAATAGCTAAAGCAGATGGAAGTTATTCAAATGTTTTTGAAACCTGTAGCATTTATTCACAATTAAAAAATTAAGGAAAAAACATCTAAACGCTTCTTGTGTTGGTTAGCATCAAACAGCAGATTTTCAGGCCTCATGGGAAGTACATACAAGAACTGGGATGCAACGGAAATGTGGTCTCTCATCCATCCTTCTGTGTAGTCATTGAACTCAGAGCAGAACATTTTTAACAATGTTTGCAGAACAATGTTGAATTCTCTCCCAGACTTAACTCTGGCAAACTGGGAGAAGTAAGGAGAGAAAATCTGAAGAAGAGGAGAAGCTCAGTCTGGTTTTCATTTTCTCTACAGCTGTCATCTGGCTTTGAATTCTGCTGGATAGCTACAGCTGGAGTCATTTTATTGCTTTACCCAGCATCCTTTTGCCTGCGCACACAGAAATGTTTTAGTAGTCTTGGAAAAAAATTCAGAGTATCTCTTAGCAACCATAGGACAGTAATTATTATACCAGCAGCTGGGAGCAAACCAGATTTCCGTTGTGCATTAAAAACTGGCGTAGGTTACTTTACAGATGATACTGAATAACCTATGCCAGTACTGTACTTTGCAGGCTGTGGTTAAAGGATATTGAATGTGGGCGGTGTAATTGCTTTGGACAGTAGAAAAGGGGAATGTGTGCATCTGTGTTTGTGTGTAGTATTCTCTGTATTTAATATACCAAGCTTAGTTCTTGTGGAAAACTTTACACATTTGCTTTTTACTTAAATGCATTTTCAATACAATAGCATTTTTGTTTCTAGGGCCTCAGCCTTCAGGTTGTCAGTGTTTCCATTATAAATGTGGGTTTTCAGGTGCTGTGACCTTTGTCATAAAACATCACATTGGAACAGGAAGTGTCGTCCAAAGAAAGCCTTTCTGATACTAGTAAACATGGCTTGGCTGTATCAAAACCATCAGTTTAATTAAAAATACAGAGGTCAGGATATTATTCTGGCATTTCTGTAGTTCTGAATAGTGAATATTTGTAGGCTAAATAAGATCATAACTGACCTGTTTTGCTTTTCATTTTTCTTAAATTCCAGAAGTTAGGCTGTGTCCACTTACCTGCAGTGTCTAGGTTGGTAAGCTGAGCGTTGTGCTTTCCGACCAGCTGTCTCATGAGTTCTTGCCTTACAAAGGTCAGATGCCTTTCTCTGTCTCCTGCCACCCCCAAATTTGTCCTGGAAGTCAATTAGCTTGAATTGCGGTGTCTGTGTTGGAATTTTATAAAAGCATTCCTTTATAATTGCTGCATACAGGGCACAAAGGCTTGTTTTAAGATTAGGGTTTATATTTCATACTTCAGTGTCTGGCGCTGCTCGTTAGCGCTGTAATAGATGATCAGCGCCTGTATCCTTGATTAGCCGGAGCCCTTCTTGACTGCCAAGGGGAGCGCATGTGTCTCCGTGTCTGTCAGTGTGAGCATGGGCATGTGTCCTTTTTGCTCTGTAGTGCAGGTGGTTTATTTCTGAAGAAAAAAAGGTGGGAATCACCTGCAGGGACAGGAAATAATGCAGGCTGTTGCAAATCTCACACAGGGATAGGGGCTGGCTTGTGGGTAGTATGTGTTTTTTCCCTGGGAAGGAAGGAGTAATAGTTTTTGCGGCTCTCATCCTTCTCCCTACACCACTCAAATTGATAATAGCTGGAGGGGTAAGGGGGTTAGGTAATGCTTATCACTGTGGTTTCTGTATAAGGGCTTCTAGCTGTTAAGTGTGTTCCTGGCTTAAATAGTTTCTGCTTGTAAGCATTTCTAACATCGCTCAAACCAAAAATAGTTGTAGGCATTTCTTCGTCTTTCTGAATGCAGCTCTCCTGTGGCTTGAACCAGTGTTTTGGAAGCTTTTTATGTCATTGGGCAATGTACCTGCAGGAGTACCTCCTGCTAGGAAGATGTGATACTGCACTAATATTTCCTGCTTTTTGCTTTTAAAATAAGTATAGATCCATGAAATCTAACTCCTGACAGTCATTTCAACGTCTCTTTTGTACCCCTTTCCCAACACTGTTTCACCAGAAAATTTCACTTTGACAACAGGGTCGATCGCTTATTGGTGTTGTCATGCTCAAGGATCTGAAAAAAGTCCTTTCTGGAGTTTTGCCTGTCTTAAAAATTTTTCAATGGAACTTTTAATCTGCTGTTGTCTTTCATGGGTGTATGCTCTCTAGCATTAATTAAAGCTGCTTATTAATTAATTAATAATTTTAATGTTTTTCCAGAGTGCTTCTGAACAATATATAAATTCTTAGTGATGCAATGATTTTCTTTCTCCTAAGGATCAGCTGCAGAACAGCTACTTCTACTTTATCTAGATGTCTTAAAACTTGATACATTAGGCTTTTATGTACATGAGGTGCTAATGTAATCCCAGAATAAGTTCCTTAAGTATTTTGATAAATGAAAACTAATGATTGTGTTAGTACTTAACCTGCCAAAACTTCAGGATTGCCTTTGCCTCCGTAGTTTTCTGCTGTATTGTTACTGTTTCCCCCTTGAAGTTTTCTTGATATGTACAAATTCTTACAATAAAGCTGAAACGTTCTCATTGCTGGAAGTTGGATGATGCAGGAATTTTCTCAGTGCTAGCAGATGATGACAGCCAGTGAACTTTACAGCATCTCTCAATACAAACAAAACATTGTACAGTACATTTTTTTTGGCAGCCCAATGCGATTTGTATCAATATGCTCTGCTTTATTCTAAGTATATCCCAGTCAGTTAAGCTTAAAGAATGAGAACTGTTTGGTTTTCTGTTCTTTGCAGAAACTGGATCATCTCACAAGCCAGTATTCTGCCCAAACATACTTCCTCTTCCTTATTCTGAGTGGCACGTGTCCTGCAGATATCTCATTATGTGTTGCCATGTGGTCTCATCTTTGTATCAAATTGTCTGACACAACCTTAATTTCAAAAAGACATTAATTAGTTGTTTAGTACACACTTGCTGTAATTAGATATTTTAACTGAGCCAATATATGTTAAAACTGACTTTCTGTTCCTTTCCAGCTGATCTTGCTTTTAATTTATTAGAAGGTCTGACTAGCTTTTGCCTTACTAGCCTCAGAAATTTTTTCCTCCAGTTGTATATTTGTAAATATTGGCAGCCTCGTGGGTAGGTAGAGAAAGCATAATCTCAGAGACTGGGCTAATCTCTCCTTCCTGAAGGAAGTTCCTCATTCTGATTTGGCATCTGAGTTAAAGGCATGTATCTCTAATGCCTAAGTTGTGTATGCTCTGCAGGGAAGGAACTCTCTTTTTCCAAGGCTGACTCATGGTAAAGAAAATACCTGCCTACTTATAAGTACTTTAAAAATGTGTATTTAAAAATACTGTGTTTATAGGTGCCTCTAACAGGTTATGTAGAATATTAATGCATTTATATGTGAATTTAGTGGGTTTGGTGTGGTTTTTGTTTAAATACAAAATCATTTCAAGGGACTTCTTATGTATTCTAGACTACTCAAGAAAATACATCAGGTTCATTAATGAAAGATCACCTTTTCCAACACGAAACTGTAGTAACCAGTGAACCTTACAACAGTGCAAATTTAAGGCCTTCATCATTTGAAGATTTCAACGCCAGGAGAGCCTGTTTTCCTAGCCAACCTAACCAGGTAAGGCTACCAACAAAAGAAGTGGTTCTTACTTTGCTTGCTGCATTAATGGCACAGTGTGTAGTTTCTGACAAGAAAGCACTTTCATTCTAAGTCCCCGTATGTAGTACTATACTCCCCACTTCTTGAAATGATCAATACAAGCTTTGCAGTTGAAATATTACAGCATTATTACAGCAGAGTAAAGCTTTGTGAAGGTATTTACCTATGCTTGTAGTGCAGAGGCTACATGAATAAATCTTCCATTTTCTTTGAAGTCAGATTTCTGTATTACAGACTTCTCTATCTGCAGCCTTGAAAAGCTGTTTAAATTTGTTCAGAAAACATTAATTGGCCATGAGCTCAATCTCAGGTACATGTATACTAATATTGTTTTGATTAGTAATATTGAAAAGTGTTTTAAAAATTGATATCTTTGATGTGTTACACAGTCAGGAGCTTTTGCTAAATATTTTTAGTGAAACATTGTTTATGCTTTCAAGCTGCCTATTTAAAATATTTTACTTTGGTACAGAAGGGAAAATGGTGTATCAGTTACACATGAAAAGTATTAAGCTATTGATAAACAGATTCTCAAAACAGAAAAAAGCCCCACTAATGTGAGGAAGGCTGATGTACAGACATTTTTCGAAAGAGGTCATATTTATACAACATTACATCGGAAAGCTTTTTACATTTTTTTACATTTTACATTTTACAGCTTTGCTTTTAACAATGCACATTTTGCTTCTTTCTAAGCCTCAGAGAACTGACAGTTTTTGTAGACTGTAGAAGTAGACTTAATAGTGAGTTGGATGATAATTAATTTGATTGAGGGTCTTATGTCTGAAGCAAACACATGGGAAGCTTTTTAGTATAAGCAGAATGCAAGTTCAAGTAGTTGTGAACACTTCATCAGAAAATATTTCTACTCCTTGAAATAAATCTTTTTAATTCCCTCAGTCATTCTTGCAAAGAAAGATAGGATGTATTAAAGTCTTCGATCAGCTGCTTTCTAACTGCTTTGTTGGGCAAAAAGTAGTAAACACTATGGAGAACTAACTAAATAGATTGAAATTATGAACTTCTAATTTTTGTTCATTGATCTGCTCCAATTATCTCTTTGTATAAGTTACCTCATATTCTTCTTTGTTCTGTTCATCAAGAGGTACATGTTTTTCCCTCTTCCCATTTACTTGCAAAGAAAATTTAAATATTTCTTAGGATAGAATAGATGGGTGATTAGGTTATTGCAGCTAACACTTAACAGCTACAGTAACCTGTGCTGTTAGTGCTCATTGAGTTGTAAAGAGAAGTGCAGTAGCCTAAAATACCTTTATGTTTGAAGAACACGTACAGAATTGGCTGATGAGAAAATGCTAATTTAGGCTGTGGTATAGCTGGCAGTGCCTGTCCACTTAAATAGGAATTTCTTTGAAGTGACAATGCTAGAATTCAGTTCTTATAGGCTGAAGTTATGGGAGGTTCCATCAAAACTTAAGTAGATATTCTTTAAAATATTTTTCTCATGTTGTAGCACCACCTGCATCTGACACTCCATGCTTTTTGCATGGTCCTGTGGTGCACATATTTAGAACATAGGCAAGTCAACAAAATCTCACATTCAGTTTGTGCACACACTGCACTGTCTGCTGAACTCCATGCATGTGACCATGTGGCACAGCAGATCGGGAGGTAAATACCTATTTTGTTTCAATTTTGTATAAATAAGTTTGAATGCTCTTACTGTGCTCATAAGTTGAATAGCTCAAGAGATACGTCCTTAAACTAAAGTAGTGATTAATGGCAGTTCAGATCTTTACCTGTAATACTTTGACTGTTACTAAAAATACCTCAGTTACTAAAAAGTCCCTCAGCTCTTCATCTTCTGATACACTGATGTGTGTTTGACTTAAATTTAGTACTTTGCGATGATACAGTCAGCTGCTGGTGTCCTCATGCTGTGGAGTTGCAAGCTGAGCAGAGTCATGTGTATCTCTTTTGAGGAGAGACAGTGAAGGCTGCCTTACCAAGCAAGTGGCCATGCCATGTTCAAAGGTGCACCCCTTCAAGTGAGGTGTGATACTAGCAGTTCAGTCGAGTCAACAAAATTTTTCTGCCTAATTTCCAGTTGGCTAATGATGTTCATAATGAGATTCTTTGTGGAATTTCAGTTTACTGTAATATTCTTCCTCCCTTCCTGCTGCAGCTGTTACACAGCGATGGCACTTGTACCAAGTTATAATTTTGAGTGGCTAGAGGACTAGGTGCATTAGATGCCCCTCCCTGGCAATGTTCAAGGCCAGGTTGGGCTTGAGCTAGCTGGTCAAGTGGAAGGTGTCCCTGCCTATGTCAGGGGGGATAGAACTAGATGATCTGTACTGTCCCTTCCAACCCAAACAATTCTATGATTCTATGATTAATCTCATTGAATTTTGCTGGTATTTGTACCTAAGAATCTGAATTATGTGTTGTTCTTAAGGTTTCATGTACCTCATGATTTCATATAGGTCCCATTAAACACCCAATACGTAAGCATACTATAAATAAAGCTTTTCCAACATTTCTCCTGTTTGCTTGTTTTTCAGCATTTCACACTTGCTTTCTTAAAAGTGATTTCTTAATATCAGTTGCATAAAAACGTAATGCTGCCTTGTTTGTTACCAAGTTTGTCAGAACTTAAGCGTTTTAGTTGGTGTTTGGCTGGGGACTTGAAAATAAGAAATGACTTCTGTGTATGTGGTGTGTTCTGCTCAAACAAATAAAAATCCTTCAAAGACTGAGGAGAGATCAAATTTTGCAGTTGTTAGTATTTAGTTAGTATTAGCCATCTTTAATGGCTGTTGGCTGGCTGGGGAATGGGAGGTTGAGGATGAGTTTTTTGGTTGAGGTTTTGGGGTTTTTTTTCCTTTAAACAGTAGGGTTTAATTAGTGTCTTAAATGCACGCATAGCTTTCTGAGTGAGTAGTGGGATAAAGGTCCTTTATGCCTGTAACATACAGAATTGTAATGACATTTTTGGTGCTTTTTCCCTTAAATAAATTTATGGTGTTAACTGTTCAAAAAAGTCAATTAGCCATAGCTAGTTATTGATGCTAAAACAATAGGCCCTTTCTCTTGTTTGAAAACAGATTAGAGATGAGAAGCACTCTGCTTTTATAAGCAAAGGGGAGGCCTAACTGCTTGCATCGGAGCCTGAGGAAGTATGGAAGGGCAGTGATGTTAGCTGGATAGGATATAAGCTTTCTTCACCCTATATCCTCGAGTCCTGGTGGAAGGCCAACTACGTGGCTTGGAGCCCAGAAAAAAAACCTATTATTGTCAGCATACTCCAGTTGTAACTCCCAGGGCAAAGCGGGTCTAATTACAGTTCTGTACTTAAAATATATCACACAAGGATTATCAAGCAGGGAAGTGATGGTTAGAGCAGGCTACAGATACTCTTACATAATCAGAAGCTGGCATATTTTAAGAAGCTATTCCTTCCTCTTCCTTCCTCTGCCTCCTACCCCAAAACCAGGTCATGCAGACTTCAGTGTAGTAGGAGCATAGACACATGCAAAGTGGAATAGAAGTGTGTTAACTTAAAACATCATCTTAGGTAGTTCATTGTCACACGCTTGCAAGAGATTAGGAACATGTAGTTCAACGGTTGTCCTAGACTATGGAATGGTGACACATTAATTCTTATTGATCTGATTAGTACTAATAAGGTAAACAATCTCAAAGCAACGATACTGATGCCAAAGGTGCATTCCCAAATAATTCATAATTCTGGAAGAAATTGTAAGGCTCATAGGCTGGGGGGGGGTGTTTTTTTTTTTTTTTTTCTACCGTTAAGCTATTTTTCTCTCTTCTGTTTGTATTATTTTCTCTAGTCCCCCCTTTCCCTCTTTTTTTTTTTTTTTTTTTTTTACAGTCTTTTCTGTGAGATGGTTTGCACGCTGTGCACTTGACAGGAGAAAAAGGCAGAACTTGACTTGAAACTTGCTTATATTCTGGCTCCAATTCTAATAGCCCTCCAGTGCAGGAAAATAATTGCCTGTCTGTAAGGCAGGAATACTGGGACATGCTGAGACTTTTTTTTTGCTGCACTTATCTGCTGTTTTCGGGAGCTCCTTCCATACACACGTGCTAAATTTTTATCCTGTCATTATTTGCACCTTTTCTTGAAAGTCACTTGTAAGGTGATTCCAGTAACAGTTAGTGGCAGCCCGCTATCTTACACGTGTACCTAAGGTCTATAGTATTTTAATTCAAATGATTCAAATTTGCCACCTTCAACAACTGTTTCATGCTCCCATGCCTTTTGATCGTAAGGCAGAATAAACAAGAACTCTGTCTTATCTCTCTGCTGTTTGTTTTGTCTGCGTTTAGCACGTTCCTTCTTACTTGCCTTTTGAGGTAAAAGGTCTTGGATTATGGTCAGTTCAGTACAAGCTGAGAATTCAAAAAGTACTGAGGTGTTTACCTGCCGGTGTCCTAACCTAATCGATGTACGTACTGTGTGTTAGCTAAGGGGAGATGCATTTAGAAGCCACTGTTCCTGATTGATCGTGCAACTGAATATTATTCTTCATATGGCAAAACCCTTGTCTAAAACATAGCTGTGAGAATAAGTAACCAGTATTCAATACTCTTGTTGCAAAAGTGGAGGGAGTTTGAAAACTTAGAGCAGGAATAAAGGGAAGCTTCTCCTAGATAACCCAAGTAACTCAAAGTGAATGTGTCAGGGACTTAAACCTAAAGCGGTGGATCATCACTGACGTGCAATCAGCAAATTCACGTAAGACATAAGTGATCTGTGGAATTAGTTACCACTGTAAGATGTTAAAACCTGATTTTTGAGCATAATTCACAGAACAGCATGAAGTCTTATGTGGGTACCAAAATACCCAAAGCTCTTATGAGATACTAAAACGTCAGGGAAGAGTACTAAAGCTTACGGTCCTAATATCATGCAGAAGGCTCATTATTGTGGGGAAGTCTGTAAATTGTAATAGTAAGAAAATAAGCTGAATTTTTTATCTTCAAGCAGCATAGAAAAAAATCCTGGTTTTTAATTTTCTGATCTAAATTTTACATTGTAAACGGACATAGATTTTGGGACTTCATGATAGTAAACTTCTCTTGTTTTGCCATTTCAGGTCCCACTGAAGTCGATCAGACACGTTAGTTTTCAGGATGAAGATGAAATTGTTAGAATAAACCCTCGTGACATTCTGATACGTCGTTATGCAGACTACAGGCATCCTGACATGTGGAAGAACGACCTGGAGAGGGATGATGCAGACTCAAATATACCATTTTCTAAATCAGACAGTAAAAAATCTGACTATTTATACCCGTGTGGGGATGGAACTAAGTTGAATTCCCTGAAAGACTCAAAGAGTTCTGTGGTATTTAAAACTCAGCCTTCCTCATCAAAATTTAAAAACTCCAAAAGAAGAAAAGAGGATGGTGAGCGTTCCCGCTGTATATACTGCCAGGAAAGGTTTAATCATGAAGATAATGGCAGAGGAAAATGTCAAGATGCACCAGATCCTATTAAAAGATGTATCTACCAAGTTAGTTGCATGCTTTGCGCAGAGAGCATGCTGTATCACTGCATGTCAGACTCTGAAGGAGATTTCTCTGATCCTTGCTCGTGTGACACTAGTGATGACAAGTTCTGCTTACGCTGGTTAGCACTGGTGGCCCTCTCGTTCATTGCTCCATGTATGTGCTGCTACCTCCCCTTGAGAGCATGCCATCACTGCGGTGAGGTGTGTGGGTGCTGTGGAGGAAAGCATAAAGCTGCGGGATGAGTCGGTCCTGTGCCAAACAGAGCTGAAAAATCTTTGTTTCCGGGAAGCATCTGACTTGGATTTGCGGAAGCTTTTTGGCAAGCTGAAGGGAATCTTCTTCCATGTGCAAGATGCTTGATGTGGAGGAAGCAACAAGACTTGTCAGACCTTGGCATTTTACAAGTGCCAGCCATGCCTAACTATTTCCTTTGAGTGCGTGGCGTTTGTTGCGAGTTGTGAAGGAGATTTTGCAAAGGAAAGCCTATTCTTATTATTGGCTATAAAATGAGTATATAAACTACGATTATACTAAAAGGGATTAACTTTTGCCACTTTGTACATTCATGGTTTAGGTGAGGGGGCTCTTTTAAAAGGATTAAAACTTACCTGAGGGGAAATTTTAACTAAAAGTGCACTAGTGACAGTTGATTTAAGATTAAGAAAAGTTAATACTTGGCAAATGAGAAACAAAACTGATTTTAAGTGCAACTAAATCACTTATTAATAGTTTTTTGGAAGCGACTTTATGTATAAATAACAAATGTTTATATTTAACTAAATGTGTAAGGTACGACTTATTACATGTTAAACTTTCCTTCCCTCTGATATAGTAGGTATGGACCGTATCTACTGTCACATTCCATGGTAGTATTTTAAATATTTAATTAGTTAATTTAGTCACATTTTTATTCCAGATGGACAAATTGATATTTTCAGTCCTGTTTCCCTTCAGCTACAGTTTGTGTTGAATTGTATTCATACATTCTGATAATCTAAAAACCTTGAAAATATTAATTATTCTAGTCTTCAGTGACCAATATTTTTTTTGTTAAGCACAGATGTAATTGTCTAAAATGTTCTTGTTAGAACATAACATTTATTTTTATATATAAATGACTTTGATTTCAACATAATAGCAAAAAGGAAGTTGTTTCTGTTGCTCAACCAGCAAGTTGTTTTCTTTTGGGATGTCCTCCAAAAATACTTTATTGCATATTCAGATGTTCATTAAGGAAAAGGTACATTAAGGCAGTTGTAACAAATTGTCATCAGTGTTCTTGTTTATCCTTTTGTTAAACTAGGATCCTGTTCAGCTGTTTATCAAGTACTATGATTAAAACAAAAGATTAATAACAAAAGTGAAATTGTTTTCATTATTTTGAACTGCAACTTTTTCTCATTTGAACGGGCAAGAACAAAAGTACTGTGTGTTTTGTTCAAAAACACCAACGAAAGACTCAGCTTGAGAAATAAATTACAGCCCAGGCAAAGCTGGAGTGAACTTCTTAATTGAGGAAATTTGGAGGGAGGATGGGGTGGGAGGGAGCGAGAGTGTGCGTATGTGTGTGTATGCGCGGTGGCATATGGTGTACAGTGTTTGTTACAGCTTTCTACTTACTAAGCGTTTAACTTTTAGATGAAAATTAACTGATTAACCCGTAGAGAATTTTCTAAAATATTTCATGCTTTGCTCTGTCATGAAGTAAGAAACATTTACTTCTCATTAGAGACGTGTAAAACACTAAAAGCAGTCGCAATTCATTAGCGAAGGTGCCTGTTTGATATCCTGGCTGGAGTGGGACAGACTGTCCTCAGCACACCCTTGTTATTAAACAAACAAATACCCTAGCTGGTTTTAAAAGATACACGTGACTGACTTTTCTCACTTCCTATGCATTTCTTCAGTACCTTTTGTGTAATTTTTCTTCCCGCATGTATCAGTGACATTAATTTTCCTTTGTAGCCCAGAAGTAAAATAAGCAAATGTATATAACATTATCTGTCTGTAAAATACTTTTTAAAAGAAAACATTTATATTTATATTACAGCTTGAGTTGACCACCTTGTGTACATAGATCATCTCAAAGTATTTATTTCACATTGAAAGGAAGACAAATATATTAATACCTGTAGAAGTTACGGAAGAGCTTCTAGTTTTGTATTAAGAGTTGATTGGATGAATCAAGTCCAAGAATATCGTGCGGTAGCAGCAGTCTTGGTTTTTACTGTTTATATATTTGAAAGCTGCTACTCTGGTTGATTTTCATGCTTCACACATTTTCAGCTAAACTTGGTTGCCTAGAATAGACTGTTAACTTTAAAACAACTTTGATTAAAAAATGGTGATGTTTTTCTAGGGAATGAGAGGGATTTAATATTTATAAGTGCTAGGTTCCTAATTCAAGGTGAAGAGAGGTATGAACAACCTAAGAAAAGAACTTGCTGGCTGTAGAGGAAAGTGCTATAGAATCGTATTGTGTATATACTTCGGCAAGAAACCAGTTTAACAGTTCCCTCTGAGCACTAGACATGTAGTGAAACTCCTGGTCCTGTACTGTATTTTATATGAAACATATATGCTTTAATATTTTTATTGAATGTGTGCATTAATATTTCCACCTGGCATTTAACCACTTTGCTGCTGAAATGTTTTCACCTTTTGCTTTCCTCTTTGAAGAGCTGATCCATCTAAAAGGGGTTACTGAACTGACTTGTGTCCACTTTTTCTTCGTGTGCTGGAAGCGCCAGCCTGCATGCCCGGTCTGAGAGCGGCTGAACGAAGCGCACAGACAGAGACATGGTTGCCTAAGGGTTGACCCTAGTAAGGATGCACGCGTGCTTTTTCTGCTGCTGTTGGGGGTCTCACCCACTGCTGCAGTTAGGAGATGGGTAGTGGGAGGTGGACGCACAGCGAACCCATTCCAGAGTGGGCTGTTACATCTGGGCATCTTCTGGTCTTGACAGCGTGTAACACCTATTCCGTCTCTTTGGTAATACTTTCTTAGGCATTTGGGAAAAGAGAAATTTCCTCCCCAATCCTCACTCCTCCCCTCGCCGTTAGCATCAGAACTGTGGTGTGTTGGGCATGTAGTAGCAGATCTTTGTGGTGTTTGGAGGGAAGACCCGAGCATGGGAAACCATCACTGAATATTAAGTCCCTTGCTTGCTGAAAGCCTCAGTTAGAATGAAAATGAAGTATCTCCCCTTGAAAGCAAAGCGGGGGAAGAAGTTCAGCGCTGGCAGCCCTCACACACCGCCTGCTGGGGGAAAGCCATTCAGCTGCGCTCAGGCTCGGTGCTTGGTGACGCAGTGGTTTAGCTGGCTATCCGTGCGCTACCTAAGCTGCAGAAATATGTTAAGCTTCGGGTATGAATTTACAAAATAGTAATTTGAACTCTTACTGTGATTCTTTATCTCATCATGCTTCCTCATTTTCATTATTAATATTGAAAGAAAGTAAAAATGCTTTAACCATATATCTTGTTAGGTGTAAAATAGTTACAATGGCCTGTTACACAAGAGCATAAAAAAATCAGGAATGAAATGAAAAATTGTTTTGATTCTGTCTCTGGGTTTATAAGAAAGATTTTTTTTTTTT